CTTGAGCTGCGTCTCCAGCCAAACGTCGCAGTGCACGTTGTCGGCGGTGCTGTTGGATGTGGAGAATGTTGGTAAAGAAGGAGGCCTCCTCATCATCACCGACGAGAAGAACGTGCATGTCCTGTACAGCGGGTCTGGTGGGGTTGAGCTTGACAAAGTAGCCAATGACAGCGACGACTTCAGAGCGAATAAGTTCAGACTTCTGCCGGATACCGTATTGTAAAGAGGGGAATAGAACATCATTGATGAGTGCCTCGAAGTCTGTGTCTGGTTCTGCAGACGCTCTGTCGATGAATCGTCTCAGACCAAAGGAGGCGCTTGAGCGGATAGCAAGCTCATCTTCATCCCTCAGATGGAAAAGCATGTTGTAAAGAAGAGGTCTCCACTGCTTCGCGCTCAAAGTTTGAGACAGTTCGTCGCTAACTATTCTGAAAGCCTGCAAACGTCTTGCATAATCGGGTTCGAGTCTCTTAGTCGAGCGAGAGTTTAGATCCGCGCACAAGTCGGCAACTACTTTGAGGTTCTCGTCATGGGTAGCAAGAGCACCGAAAACACGGGACAGTACTTCCCTGTTCGCGTCATCCTTGAAGTAGTCGAACATCGAGCACACCGCATCAAACACTTGCTGGGCAAGCTCGGCATCTTCCTTGGGGTCCCACAAGGGCAAGAAGTGTTCAAGAATCTTCAATAGACCAGACTTGGTTCTGGGGCTGACACGATCTGCTGGCTGACGAAGCAGGTATGTCGTAATGCTAACAAGACTAGCGGTCTCTTTCGAGGATTCGACACAGGGGGCGATCAGAGAAAGAGCATTGACTCCGGAGTAAAGAACGGGTTTAGAAGGGCCTCTCTTGAGAAGACGGCCGAGGTGGAAAAGAGCGTGCTCCAGGTAGGGAGAGAGGACTTCGGATTTGATTTGTTCAGCTGGGAAGTCAGGCATCTCTTCGGTTTCCTGCAACTTTTTGCCCGTAGACTGCTCAACCAATGGGATGAGAATCTCATCCAAGACAAAGTTCTTGACTTCATCACGGGCAGATTCGACCGCAAGACAGTCAATCACCTTAGTCAAAACCTTATCATTGTGCTGTACCAAATAGAAGGTTGACCTTGGGGCGGCGGCCCAAGTGTGGAACAATCGTAGAAGACCTGAAACACCCTGTGCTGTCTCAATAGGGAACTGGTCCAGTCTGCTGTCGATCACCTCCTTGAAGATAATACGGACGTAGGGAGTCCAATCATGGTTCGGAACAATCGAGAAGACCAAATTGAGACAGCGAATACACGCCGAACGAATATTTTGGAGCACAGGCAAGAGGCGTTCATCTGGGCGATTGCTGCCCTCGTTGTAAATCGCCCGGCATGCTCGCACCAAACAATAGACAACCACATCCATAGTCTGCGATGCAAATTCAGTCATACGGGTTTGAAGGGTCTCGAAAACAGTATCAATCAACTTAAGCAGACCCAGCTGTCTTCTTGGGCTTGTCAACTCTTCCTCGAAGACAGTCGGATCGCATACGTTGTCTTTAACAACGTGCACGTTTGCAAGAGGACCAAAGGAAAGCTGCATGAAAAGTCCAAAGTCGTGCTCTGAGAGGTGCGAGATAGTTCGAAGAATGGTCTTTCGTCTGCCGGCTTGGCCAGCGGCGGCTGAACCAGCCTTAGAAATCATTCGACCATAGAGTAGTCGAAGGACTACGGGGAGGAGAACAGCTCGGTGCTCTTGTTGAATTAGACTTTCTTCGTCACCGACATGCACGAAAACAGCAAGCTCATCCTTGAATCTAGCCTCATCCAAGAGGTTGAGTAGATTTTCCTGATACGGGCGCACATTTGGGTCTTTCCAGGTGAAAAGGACTTTAAGTGCATGTTTCTGTAGGTCAGAATTACCATGGCACAAGAGTCCCAAGACTGCTGCATGGACCTCGGGGGCCTTGTACAAGACGATGGGGTTGAGGAACCGCGCGAACAAATCAAGCATGGACAATCGATCCCGGAATCCCCAACGCACTTGCGCATCACCAGTCTCGGCATCTTCGACCTTCGCTTCGCCGGTTGGAGGCGCGTCATCTTGGTCCTCACGCAATGCCCAGGACAAGAACAATGGCACAATCTGGCGCGAGCGTTTCTCAGCAACACCCGGTGCAGCATTCAAGACACGAAGTGCATGGGTTCGCGGACAAGCAGGAAGGATGTCTGCGACTGTGTGGTCCTGTTCGAATTGTTGAGATAGGACATGATACGGATCCTCTGTGCTCTTGGTATTTGCGGCGAGTACTTTCTCGACCTTCGCAACATTGTAACACTTGAAGTGGCTCTTGACGAAAGAGCTCTCGTCGTCTTCTGCTGGAACGTCGCTGGGAGCTTCGGCATCCCGCTCTGAAAGCCACTGGATGGACAAATCGGACACAATCTTCTCGCCCTGGGGATTTTCGCTAATAGTCTTCAATGCAGCAGCAGAGTCATCCCACAATGGGGCTAACTTCTTCGAGAACAACCCAAAGCAAAAGTAAGGGACCAGTGTGGCCATCCATCTGCGGTGAGCAATTTGAGGGTAGAGAATCGCAAGTTTGCGGATATGCATAGAGATAGTTCGCACGGAGTCCATCGTCAACGGGCTCCGTTCGACTTCGATGGCCAGTTCCACGGGCGAGGGGTCGTCTTTGACAATACGGACAACTAATTCCCGTAGAATCTGAAGAGATACCATCCTCAGCCTATGCGACGGGCTTGCCAGGTTCACAATTAAGTCTTGAGCAAAGTCTTCTAGGGTGGGATGTTCGAGGTCCGCGGACTCTGGGAGAGAGGAAATGAAAGCAAGGGCACCCTCCAAAAAGACTGGCAGGCGGGAGAATTTTGTAGCAGTGGCGATGATCGGTTTCAAGAGACTCGAGTCAAGCTCCCCAACTTTGTTAGCAAGTTCGACATACGTCTTGAATCCTTGACCAAGGAAAAACACCAGGCCTTTCGTCTGGGCATCATTGCCTTCAGCTGCACCATCTTGGAACGCTGATAGGAGGTTGCTATGCAACTTGGAAACCATCTTGGACAATGTAGCAGAATCTGCAAACAAAGAGATGGCGTCTGGAAGCTTCACCAGCGCATTCAAGAAGGCTTCATCTTTTGTGGGATACTCTAATGAATCAGTGATGCGAGATTTGAAGGCATCCGGGCAGCTAATGTAGCCAAGTTGCGAGGTCTCGGGAGTGATGCAACCAGCCTCATGAAGGCGTAGCAGGGTGAAACAAGTCTCCCACTCTGACTTTTGCCATGACGAGTTGATAAACTTTTGGAAAGGTGAAAGAAGCAAGCTCTGGAATCGCTCTGATCCCCACTCCGAGAATGTTGCGCAGAAGAATAAGAAATATTTTGAAAGCGGGCCTGTGGACACCAGGTCCATAATTGGGCGAAGGAAAGGTAGCAACTCGTCCATGGGGGACATTTGTAGGGCGTATGCGACGCTTGTAAGGAGCTGTAATATCGTCGCCGATGATACATCAAATGTCGACACCTGCTGGAGCAGGGACACTTGGATCTGATGAACGGTCTTCCAATTTTGGATTCTGACACCCTTGCGAGTTGTCACAAGCAGGAACATTATATGGCAACACTCCGAGAGATTTGGATTTGGGGTTGATTTTGAGCGATCTTCGATATAAGTCTTGACCGTGTCGAGGATGGGTCCGAAGGTATCGGGAGTCGTGGCATGGATAAGACTGACAACCAGACCAAATATAACTTCCGCGGGATCATTGTGGTTTTCACTAGTCGGCGGAATCTGATTTAAAACACAGTTGAGGATGTCCATGCCATTGGAGTGCAGGCCGTTGTTGACTCCCCTGATAGCATCAGAAAACATGGTCATAAGTCCTTCCCTGTAATTCTCGGTATCCTTGTTATCGTCGGCGGCTTGCGAGATATCATTGAAGAGGAATGAGACGGCAGTGTCGAGGGGTGCTTTATTTTTGTAATAAACAAGGCCGGCCTTTCTGATAAGGAACGACATCGACTCAGCGGCGAACCTCGCTACAAATGGCTTTTGTCGTTCTTTTCCGAGATATGGAGTCATAATACTCAGCAGCTGCCGTAGGTCTGGCACCAACAGACGAGAAAGGAATTTGAAGATCCATGCAAGACATGTGAAACTCCATTCAACTACCTCAATATTGGGATGTGTTGCCGCAACGGACGACACCAGTGTCACTGCTGTAGCAAAATGTTTTTCGAATTTGACGCCCAGGTCCCGAGCGAATTGCGCAAGCAAGCTCAATAGCGGCTCCATAGAGAGCTGGTCTCTCTTCTCGATGAATTCCACCAATATAGCCATAATCTTTTCTTCGTGATACAAAACTTGCGCAAAGCTCTCGGAAAGAGGGTTCACACGCCGTACAAATTGTGTGAAGTTGTCTGAAAGGTTCATCTCAAACCAGTGATCGAGGGCCGCTCGGAAATAAGAGGATGTTTCGTCTTCATCTTCGCCGAAACTGGCGCGGCGCACGCGGTGGATCGGGTCGATTTTGAGCTTGGTGATGCGTGATGAAAAGCCCTCAAATCGATAGTTTTTCGTAGTTTCGGTGCCCGTTTTTAGGCGCCTAACAGGCTGTGATTTTGAGCCTGTCCCCACCATCTTGACGGGTCTGGCGAGCAGCACTGTTCGTGAGAAAGGTACTGGTCAACTTTTTTCTGGCTGATCCGCATGGAATACAAAAAAGTTCATCGGAGCGGGATTTTATTATTCCGAAGCAGATATCTACATTTATCACGTGCTGATAAGATGGCCCAAGCTCCTGCTTTCGAGAACCCAAGATGTTCTATCCTGCATCTAGTCGCATGTAGTTGATCTGATCTCTGGCGGCACATTTGGACAGTTTGGGGGTTAAAATCTCATCCTTTTCAGGGTCTCTCCTCTTCCTATTTACAACCTTTTTACCATCTTTTTATCAACTTCTTATCAACTTTTTCAACACCCACTCAACATACCACCCAAGACAGACCCAAAAATGGTTCCCAAATGGTATGTATGTTCGGGTCTGCATGTATTCCAGTCACTAACCAAATCCATATGTAGCATTGTATTTGGCAGCTTAAACGGCCAGATACGACCCGTGTTCACGAAGCTAGCCAAGCTGCAGCTAAAACAGGATTTCTCCTTTGCGATCATTCTTGGTGATTTCTTCGGTGATGGTTCAACTGAAGACGAACTCGAGGATATTACTGCCTTGATACAGGGAAACATTCCCGTGGCATGCCCAACCTACTTCACCCTTGGTAACCGACCACTTCCCCCTCAAGTGGTCGAAAAAATTGAAGCAAGTGATGAAGTGTGCCCCAACTTGTTCTTCCTGGGAAAGCGAGGAACATTGAAGACAACAGATGGTATTCGTATTGTTGCGCTAGGTGGAACCATGGGGGAGACAGAGGGCAGATCCAAGCCCGAGAGCAATGCTAGCGGCAAGTTCCAGCCGACATACAGTGAATCTGATGCTCGTGCACTGTTCGGGATTCATCAAACCGACATTCTTATCACCAACCAATGGCCAAAGGATGTCCGCCTTGGATCTAGCGGCGAAGCCTCCGGGGATAAGGCGACTGTGCCATCTGAATTACAATGCATTGCTGATGTCTGCGCGACCCTGAAGCCCCGATATCACTTTTCTCGGTCAGACGGTGCTTTCTTCGAGCGTGAACCCTTCTTTCACATGCCAACGGAAGAGGATCAGAATGTCTACAAACTCACTCGGTTTATTTCATTGCCTAGCTTCGGGTCGAAAAAAGCTATTTATGCCTTCAACTTGGACCCAACAGCACCTTTCCCAAGCAGTATCCCCATAGGCTCCACTATTTCCCCTTGGTCAGCAGCACAAAGCAGGCGCCAAATGCTCCCAAGCCAAAGCGAATCATACCAGCGGTATGCGCCCTCCGGCAGAGATAGAGAACCGGGACATCAGCGCCGACACAAAGAACGCGCCCCTCCGCCAGGCCCGGAGAATTGTTTCTTCTGCCTCTCGAATCCCAACATCGCCACCCATCTCATTACCTCAATTGGCAATGAAAGCTATATCACCACCGCCAAAGGGCCTCTGCCCACAAAGGACTTTTACCCTTCCCTGGGCTTCCCAGGCCACATGCTCATCATCCCCTTCGAGCATTCCCCGACCATTGACCTAATCTTCGACCCAGCCATTCGAGCTTCGACTTTCGCCGAGATGCAACGATACCGCGAATCCCTACATCAAATGCTGAACGAGCGATCTGGAGGCAAGCTCGGTGCTGTCACATGGGAAGTCAGCCGTTCGAACGGTATCCACACACATTGGCAATTCCTGCCGATGCCAGTGGAGAAGATCCGCTCGCGGCTTGTTGAAATGGCATTTAAGAAGGAAGCCTCGAACCTGGAATATTCGACTTTCAAGACCGTGCCAACCCCCGACGAAATCCACAACCACCATATGATCGATTATTTCCGAGTCTTTATTTGGACGCCTACGCCCAGCACTGAAGCCGAGGTTGAAGGCGATAATTGGTCTGCGCCTGAACACAAAGGCGTTTGGAAGACTGAATCTGGAGAGGAGAATGTTATCATTATGAAGATCCTGCCGGAAAGCCGGTTTAATTTGCAATTTGGTCGCCAGGTTATGGGCAAGGTGCTTTATTTGGATGAGCGTATCAACTGGAGGGATTGTGTGCAGACAGACGACGAGGAGACGAAGGATGCGGAGGCTTTCAAGGAGGCTTTCAAGAAACATGATTTCGCGATGGAAACTGACGAGTGAATTTGAGATCGGGAAGTTTCTGCTTCTCTTCCAGGTTCATACGTGACAAATTTGTGGTACGTTGATCAACCTCGGAAGGGTTCTTTCGACGGGGAGCATCTTTGGAAAGCTCCCCTTTCGTGTACAATATGATGAAATGTGACAAATGAGTTCAAAATTGAAGCCAAAATTCACAAATTTTACAAATTCCACGCGAAACGCATCCATGGATATGAGAGATACTCATGTTAACGTATTTTCCCAGGTTCTGTCGGCTAGAAATGGAAAACATCAAGAAAAAGATGTTGCCGGTGCTCCCTGCAAAGATTCTAGCGATGTAAACCTGTTGGGCTATGCTCGGATGCTCGATTCCGAGGTGCTCTAGAGTCTACTACCGCCGGGTCTAGACTGTTGGGCTGTGCTCGGATACTCGAGGCACTAGAACCTGTGGATATAGTGCGAGGTCAGTCAAGTGGCTACACATTGTTGTTACTTTCATCTACTAGGTGTACATACTACAGCCCTGACATATCATCAATTCTTCAAGATGAAAGGTGGGACATTTTCTGCTAGGCAAAAAGCGCAATGTCCAAGAAAACTGGAGTGTCAAACAAGTGATGCAAAAGACTCTCAAGTGAGACAAATGATGAAAGGAAAAATGCACTTCTATTCCCCGAATTGAGCTTGGATCATGGTATGGAAGTGTACACGTGAATATATACATATATCATTGATGTAAGATGAATGGAACGAAGACAAATACGGCGTGAGAATGGTATCAAAAAAAAAGGGAAAAGTTCTGTTCATGAAACCGCCTCGATCGACGAGGGTCATAACTCAAAAGTTGCTAGAAGCATTGAAGGTGGGCTTTTTGCCGCTCTGCAACACACTTGGAGGTCTGTTGTTGTCGGGCTCTGGAATGGGGGTAGCGTTGGCATGGGGGTTGTAGGTAGTATACTCCGAAGGCGAAGGAGCCGAGAAAGCAGGAGGCGAAGGAGGAGCGCCGGGGGAGAAGGCGCGGTATGCAGGCTGGGAGGTGTATGTTGGGGGATACTGGCTAGAGCCAAAGGATGGCTGGCGCTGGAAGCCTGGTGTTGGGGCCGCGGCTGCAGAATGGTCCATCTCCGAGGATGGAGAGAAAGCCATTGGCACGGGGCTGTAGTTAGTGTGCGGCTTGTATGCAGCCACGGGTGAGGGTGCAGTCACGGCGTGGTAGCCATCGCCTGCGCCGTAAGACTGGTCGTCATAGGAGTCGTGGTACTGTTGCTGGTCGTAAGGATTGTGGACTGGTGCGCCAACAGGCGACGTTAGGCCCGGAGAGCGCGGACGGTAGGGATCGGGGGCTGCGGCGCCATACCCAGCTGCTGGGGGTGACATGCCGGGCGAGCGCCGCCCATATGGATCTTGAGTGACAGCGAACGCTGCTGCTGGGCCGGGGGAACGTCGTCCGTATGGATCCTGCGCAGTATTGAGTGCTGCTGCCGGGCCTGGGGATCTTCTCGCATGAGGATCAATTCCTGCCCCAGGGGAAGGCATACCTGGCGAACGTCGGCCATAGGGGTCTTGGACGGGATTAAATGCAGCTCCCGGGCCGGGAGACCGCCGTGCATGCGGATCGGTAGGCCCAAATCCTCTGTAGCCAGCCGCGGCTGCGCCAATGGTTGGGTTGGGTGAATAGTCAGAGTAAGCGGTGCCAGGTGCACCGGCACCCTGCCTTCGGTCGGGGTGGTTCAATGGCTCCATTTCGACATCATCGTGATGATTCGGGTCTTCAACGTGCTTGTCAACAGCACCAGCCCAGGTAGGCATCTCAGGCAAGGCGTCCTCATTGATATGAACGGCTGGGGACTTGGGCGCGTCGAAACGCGCAGTCTGCTGCGCGCCGCGGAACGAAGGCGCTCTCTGTTGCGCACTGACATAGGAGGGTGGAGCTGGTGGTGCTTGATAGACGGGATTCGGAGCTGGTGGTGGAGGCTGGTGGAACGAAGGGTCATAGTTATCAAAGTGCTTGGGTGTTTTGTTTCTGCGCCTGCCTGAGGGACAGCAACAGCTACAGCAACACTTGCAGCATTGATAGCCACAACAGAGACAATTAACAATGCAAGCTAATACGGAGAGTAGAACCACCCCACCGATGATGATACCAACGATTACTGGCCACCTTGCGCCAATTTAATTAGTATCATGCCAGATTATGCGCAAATGCGAAGGGAAGGCGACTACCTCTTAGCAACTTACTTGCAGTACTCTTTGGCCATACATTTGTCCCAGCTGGAGAATGTGCTTGGAACGTCCTGGAGATCACTCGCGGTGTCTCGGGCCCATAAGGTAATGTTTGCTGGAGTCATCTTAGAAATGAATGGCGAGTGCGCAACGCGATAGAGAGAGAATCATCCGATTGCCAATGACTGCAGAACAGCCTTGGGCAAGATTTTCTGAGCCAGTGTAATAAAACTTAGAAACAGTTCAGTGTGAATGAACTGTAACGCAAAATGAGATAGATGTACAATCGCGCCGGGTTCGGAGGTAACGAGAGGGGGCGGGGCGCGAGTCCGAGTGTAGCGATAGCAGCGATTGTAAATGCGAAGTCACACGAATAGATTCAATATCAAGGAGTGAAGATGTACGGAATAAATAGATGCTAGTTCAAAATGGTGAACTGAACAGGCAGCAAGTTACCAAAATAGAATGGTTTGACGAATGAAGACCAGAGAGAGTGAGACACTAGAGCGAGATCCAAGGAACGACTGATGAGGCGCGGGCTCTCAAAACGACTGAAAGAACCGAATGGTCACTGTTTTACTTGAGAAAAGAGCCCTGAAGAAGAAGAAGAAAAGAGTGAAATTGCTGAAACACCAACAGTTCGGCCTCGGGTTTAAGGACAAGGGTTGACAGGAGCAGGAAAAACCCCATAGTTCCCGCATTCCCACCTATCACATTCATCAGAGAGACTGGAAACGACAATCGTCATTAATTGATTATGTCGATCATTTAAGGATTTTAAGAGGGAGATGACTTGGAAGTTATTTTGAATTTTTTTTTTTTTTGTTCATTCTCACAAAGGGAAATCAAACATTTGTGAACTAGTTGTCTCCTCCGATTACCCTTTCCAGACCCAATTAAAATCTCACAAGAGAGACACATCCAGGGAAAAATGACCTGTGATACACAGGCAATTCTCGGTATGTACAGCTGTAAAGCCACTCTCGATGCAATAGTACATTCTCAAGATCCTCCACACGACCCCAGGGACACGTTTCAAAGGGGGATATTATGGGACAATGCATTGGATACAAATGCTCCTGGCAGAGAATTCTGCCAGTGAAGAAACTGGCGTTGAGCATCGAAATGCAAATTTGGTACAGCGAGGAATGGTGATTATTCCACAGTAGAAAGTCCGTACAACAGAAGGAATAGTGGATTAAAGGGCGATAATGTTGTCAAAAGAATGTTCGGAGAGAAAAGGAAATGCCAAAGTGTCGGCAGAATGTTCGATGAAAATCGTTGGGGTATTGTTTTCGTGGGATGACCCACAGGAGGAGTATGGGGAAATGGAAATCTGGCGATGATAGGCCGTCTTCGTGCGCATTTTCGTTTTTCGAAGTTGCGAGGTCATAAGTAGACATATGAAATGGGACACTCAGATTCGAACAGTTCATGAGAGTCGATTGCCCAGGGAGGATCATGGGCGATGGTCATAGAGAGATGTGGCGAGATGCCATGCAAAGGAAATGTTGAGGGAAGTAGGAACCCATGAGGTAAAGAGGGTCCATCAAGGAGAGGACGATACCAATAGCAGGTATCAAAGACATGGTGAAAAGGTGAGTTCAACAGGAATCAGACCCCAGTAGAACTGAGATAGTTGAGAGAAGTTGAGGGTGAAAAGAAAAGAAAAAGCCGCCGTAAAGCATCTTGGAATGCATAAGCCAAACACCACGCTCCAAGGACAAGACAAGAAAAAGGAAAAAAACAAGAACATAATATGCAGACAAATGCAAGATAGCCGAAAGGAATACTGGCGAGTCGATTTAGTACGAAAGCATCCGGCGACCTGGGGTCCGCGCAGGGACTGGGCTTTGAGAAAATGGAGAGCTTAGGTAGCGGTTTCGCTCGTTGTCGCCAAGTCGGCAACGTCCAGTTGGGCTATCTTCCATTTGAGGTGATTGTTCCCCAAAGGCAAAGGTCTGGGCGCGGTTCAGCTTGGAGCGTTGCTTGACCTTGCCAAGTCCACGCTCACAAGCGAATTCGTGCTCCTTGGCACTCATTTCGACATAATTCTGAGGGAAACAGAAAGAGCGGTGTTCAGCGAAAAATGAGCTGTATCCACCATCCAGGATGTACATATCGGGGTATGAGAGGTGGGGGTAAGTATCAACATTAATGGCACGATCATGGTGACGCAGGTACTTGGCCATGATGGGAGCCCGGTGCGCGGAGTACTCGCAATGCAAGACAAGCGCAGTGCGGGCCTGGGGCGCGCTGAAGAGTTCACTAGCGAGACGTTCCTTGTCGTTATAGTTCAATGCGCCGGTGATGTGGCCACCCTCATATTCGTACTCGAAGCGGCAGTCGATGATGAAAATGTTGTCGAATTGGTCGTTGAACTTGCCATTCATAAGTTCCAGAAGAGTGCTTTTGTCGATGCGAGGCAGAGAGTCCGCGCGATCCTCAGGGATGAAGTGAGGCAGCTTCATGCTGGGCGGACTCGAAATGTCACTAATGGACTGGACGGGTGTATTTGTCGCTACCTTGGCCTCTTTATCGGCAATAACGTCTCCTGGGTTCTCAAACATGCTCAATGATCGCCGGCATTGCTTGCGGGGACGCATCAAAGGGTGAGAGGGTTTTCGGATTGAACTGGGGGCGGGCGAGCCGCTGCTACGGGCATGGTGAAGTGAGGGCCGCATACGGGGTGGTGCTAGGTGGGTTGAAGAGTTGTTGCGAGAGAGAGGACGCTCACGGGGAGGCGAGTCCCCAAACATATCTTCTAGAGAAGTGGACGTGCTAAGAGATGTCTTTGCTCCAGTTCCAAATCGAAACGGCGGTGCCTTGCTCTCTGGTGCAGGCCGAGTCAGTCCAAGTTGGAAAGATTGAGCCTTACTCTTCGCCAGACTAGGACGCAAGAAGGTGGGGCGCTTCCTCCTGTCAGATAGAAATTCATGTTAACCAAACGGATTTTGTGGCTGGCTGAATATCACGTGCACTTACTCAGATGGGCATATAGGTGACTCCATTGGAGACGCCTGCAGAGGGCTTGGGAGCGGAGAGACCATTGGTGATTCCATAGGACTACCTCCGGGTGTCGGGGATTGTATCTCAATCTCAGCAGTGACAAAAAAAGCTGGCTTGTGAGGCAGTGGAGACATTTCCATCACGTCCATAGCTGGAGCTGGTGAAGACGATGGGAGCGGCGGGGTGGTCATCACATCATCTATATAACTTATCAGTAACTACTCCGCCTTGCCATTCCGGTGGTCATTGCTTACCACGCCCATTAGCTTGAGTGAGCATACTGGCCGTGAACAAAGACCGCCGTGGTGTGGCTAACTGGGGACTAAATATAGAGTTAGCCGGGCTTTGTCCCTTTGAACCACTTGAAACGAGAGAACTCATGGAAACTTCCACATACCTATGATCAATATGGAAGTTCTGAGAAAGATCAGCAGCCAAACTGGCTGTGGGGGAAGATCCTCGAATTGGTTTCATGTTAAAGTAGTCCGAACTAGACTTCTTCATAGACAATTCTTTGAAATTGAACGGGTTTCCACTAAACCCGGACATTGAACCTAGGGAATAAGAAGTCGATGCCTCTGAATGGAAGCAATGACCGAACATGACTGAAGGAGGCTGCATAGCAGCAAGAGGTGAAGAGTGCTCCATGACCAGTCACGAATTGCAACTGGACCGAAAAGCCGACGTTGTACAGTTCTCTGGGAAGGAAAGCAACCGGAACAGATGGAACAGAGGCAATCAGGCCCTGACCACAGATGTCTACCCAGTACTAGGTCCTACAAACTGAGGTTCAAAAAAGTTGTCTCAACAAGCGTCTCCACGTTTGCAATTTCAACGTTATGGGTCCCCACGATCGCCGTGACAACCAGTCGGAAAAAAAAAAACCTAGGTCCCAGACCCTAACCACCAACGGCGAGAGTTGTATTTTGTAGACACAGGATTTATTGGGCCATGGCAAGATATTCGGAGGATTTTGGGAGATGAATATGGTGAATACGTCGGTGATTGGAGGGGTTGGGGGGAAGCTCGTGGGTGCTGCAGGACTGAGGGGAAGGTCCAAGAATATGATATGGATGTCGGCTAGAGCGAATAACAAAATTGAAACTCACAATGTCGAGTGAGGATTGTCGAGAGTAGTTAAGAAGAAAGTTAAGAACAAAGCGGTTTGGAAGAAAGAAGCCGTGAAGCTGAAGGGATGGGCTTGTTGCAATGGGCAACGCAGGTGGGGAGGATCTCCGAATGTACAAGTATTGAGTAATACTGCGGCTCCGATTTTCATGTAACCGGGAATTTTAATAATAAAAAAAAAGGTCGTTAGGTTTAGTTTAGATTCAAGTAAAGATTGTAATAGAGGTAATGAAGGTAATATAGTAAATAGGCGTAATATAGTAATAGAAGTATGTATTAGGTCAAAACACCTAGTTCCCTTTATAAAGAAACCTGTACGGAGTATAATGAACCTGTATGGTAAAATGACAATTTAAAAAAATGTATTTCAAAAATGTAATTCATGGGGGAAAAAACTAGATCGGTATGCAATGGTAGTAACCATAGAGAGTAAAAGATAGACACTCTCCCCATGCTCTGGCTAGGGGCCAAATACTTTTTTTTTCCATCTGGTTGCCCGGGGCTCCCTTGCCGCAGCAACCCAGCGCCTATCAGAGCTCATCACCATTTCTCACCTCTATAACCCATGTCTTGGGTCTAAGTTTATCTCCCCTGCTCTATGGGAGGGGGATTGTCTCTCTACTTAACCTTAGATATATGAAATTACCTGTCTATATTCTCTCTTCTTTGGTTATTCTGTAATAGTATCCACCAAAGAGAAAACTTTTTCTTTCCCGTGTGAGCCCGTCAGCACATGAACCACAGGCGAGCTGAAAAAAAAAAAAAAAAAAAAAACGGAGCCAAAGATCGAGTCTAATGCAAAAATATCCACTTTTTCCAGTTCTCGGGAGAAAAAAATTTAGAGCTTCTGCAAGTGATGGGAAGCAAGTGATGGGATGCAAGGGTGCTTCCATTGAACGGCTTCTTTCTTATTGCTTTGACTGAACGTCACGATGTGCTTCAATCCAAGGAATCCGAGGAAACTCCCCGATATTTGAACCCAACTATT